ACCTTAAGCCGTGAGCTTTCCATCCACCCTCTTCTCCCCAGCAAGGTACTATTCTGGATTGATTTTGTAACTTAAAGTGGCCAAGTTTGGACAACACTGCTCTACATGTTCCTGCCATGATATTCTACAGATGGGTAGCAAAACTTCAGAAGTCATCCAAATATAAGAGGGAAATCAGAGAATACAAGTGAGGTAGATGAATTCAAAAGATTGGGAATTATTAAAATAATATTTTCTATAAATGAAGAATTGTCAGGGTTGCCTGTGAAATAAACCATCTTTTCACTTTGAACTTTTTCATATCCCTTTCTCGGGGGCGGGGGGGCGGATTTTAAGGAGCGGCTAAAAGGTATAAAAATGTCTTTCAGGAGAAATAAATTAGCCTGTTGCCAAGATAACCAGGTTGATACTTTGTGTCTGGCTGTGCTTGTGGATGATGAAAGTGGGCATGATGATGAAGATTAGTCTGATTGTCACAGTAAGAAGTTCTGTTCCATCTTTCGCATTCTATTCAGAGCAAGGGATCTATTTACCTCCAGAGTGATACCTTCAATGACTGTGAGTTGCGATGGGGCACCATATTGTCATACCATTGACTATGTGCCTCCAGATGATCTTAATTTTGTAAGAACAATGCAACAGGAAGTGCACAGGGAAGTTTTCAGTGGGAGAATTCAGTAAATGTTTCAACTCCCATTCCATAGATTCTCACACTACAATTATGGACTCCACATTTCATTATTGTACTTCCATGTATTTTTGTTTATATTTTATAGAGATCCAAACAGAGGAGATAAAACAAAGCAAAATACCTAATTGGCACTGTTGACAAGCTTCTAAACTAAGACTGATTAAAAAAATAATCCTGGTTCATCGAAAGCTACCTGTGATTGCCCCACTGACTTTGCTACTTTGTATGAGCACTGATCCTGGCCAAAAATATCAAAATTGTTTTGATTTCCACATATTTTGCATTATGTGGAATAATCCTACAATACTACTGAATGTGGTTATTTGAACAAAAGTGAAACTCCTGTGCAAACAATGAAAATAAATCCTGTCTAACTAATGTCCCACTAATTTCAGAGGGACTTAAATTAAATTAACGTTAATTTAAGGACTTAACTTAGTTTCTGACTGGGACCTAAGTCTACTTCCATCTTTAATCAAATTACATCAAAGGATTTTTATGAGACCACAGTCCACATATTAATTCAGCAATTTATGTTCTGCCTACTGCATTGCTCACATTAGTATTTTGATTCAAAATACAGAAAGAGAAATCATACAGAGCAGCCAAAACACAATTTAAGGATGCTGTGAACGTATTTCCACATTGCCTTCAAATAACACAGAAACTTCTACCTTCATCACAGACAGCAGATGGTGAATATCAGTGATTTTAGGGATATACTGTATGCTATCTCCAGAACATACAAATTACCACATGCTTGTGAGAAATCATTAAATATTATGACATCTAACTATAAAGGGTTCCTTGTTGTGAGGCACCTAAGCTGAGACAAAGCATCGCATTACCTATTATATACCATTATTTAAAAAAATCTAAAATAGAAATGCGAAGTGGAATACTTCTTTTTCTGTTTCCTTACAATTATAATTTGGGCAATCTTTTTACCACTCTAGCCCATAAATTGTTAACTGTTATCCTTGCTCTAAGCTGTGAAGTTTACAAAGAAAGAAAAAAAAAGAAAAGAAAAGAAAATCCAAGAATCAGAAATCTATGGAAATGCAAGAATGGTTTGATACATTTGACTGGAAAGTGAGACAATTCCAACTTCATAAACAAAAGAAGTTAAGAAACTAAGAATGTTATCATAATAACATAAAGTGCCTGTGTTTATGTATGGGGTATATTATCATCCTTAATGATACAATGCAAACTTAGAAGCAACTTCAGCATTACTGTATACCAACCTGGGTGAAATATCACATCCTTGCTGCATAAAGGCACCCAGGGAAAACCACAGACTGTTGAAGATGCCAAATTCATTAGGAGGTTGGTCACTGGGTCCTTCTCTACCATCCTCTGGTTCTTCTGTATGCCATTCGTATGGACTAAACCTGCTCACCAGGAATAGGACAACACTGACCCCAATGTAGGCAAAGACTATGCACATCCAAATCTCATAGGCCAAGGGGTCCAGGAAGGAAAAAACTCCTGGCTTAGATTTCTGGGGCTTTTTGATCATAATGGATATGCCAAGACTCATAAAGGGCTTAGAAAAATCGATAACCTCCTCACGCACCAAAGTGATGGTCAGAGGTGCAACTGCAATCTCTGCTTTCTGTAAAAGAGAAGGAGAACCCAAACAAATATACATTAGGGAAACATAAAACATTGTACTTTGCAACAAGTGGATGATTTAGATGGTCATCTATCTAGAATGAATGGCCAAAATAGAGGCTAATGGCAAAAGTATGGTGCTTGAGACAATGTAATGGAATTAAAGAATGGGCATTTGGAGGAAGAAAGTGGTAGTACATCAGGAAGAATTCTAAGCAAAGATGAACACTCATTTGCAGTTAGTTGAGAGGTGTATATGATCTTACTCTATTTAAAGATAGGGATGTATATGAGAACTCTGATGTAAATTCAGACAGCCTTGTATCTTGAAACATACATTATGTTATATTAAGTCAAACTATCCAATGTAGGGTACCATCTACATTGGAGAGCCTTCAGCTCTCAAAATTCTCAGCAGTAGCCAAGCAGCTGAGAATTCTTGAAGTCTACACATCTGGAGGACATGAAGACAGTGGAAAACCAAGTCATACATTTGATTTATCTAGACTGGTACATATATTCTGATTTACAATGGATCTCCACAATTTCTGGTAAAGGATTTCCCTTGCCCAGCTTAGATATACAAACACTTTTTAAAGTGAAGACTCCAGGCACCTAGCCAGACCTTTCTGAAGACATATGCTCTTTCTTAAAGCTACAGTCTTTGTCCTATGTAATATATAAACTTATGAGGTTTCTTGCTAGACATAGTAGTTTAATATTATGAGAAGAGTGCATGAATTATGGCAAACAGTTCTAAGGTGAACCCTTTGTATTTCTGGCTAAGGTGTGCTACCTGAATCCCAGGAGATCTATGTTTGGTGGTTCTTTCAAGAAGTAGTCTCCTCTAGACTTTTCTGCTTGTAATCCATTTGGCATTTGAAATGCCAAACAGCATGCTCAGGAATTTCTGCATGCATCCAGATTAAAGAAGGACCTACCCTCCATCCCAACTCAAAAGTCAATTAAGTTTTACCAGCATAGCTTAAAAACTTCTTGGAAAATTTGAACCAATTTTGCAGAGTTCTCAAAAATGCTGATCAAATTTGGTTGCCCCCTTAGCTTTGTAGATCATTCACTGTCATAGACAGGCAAGGCTGTTCATTTGACCAACTAACTTCAAAACTGGAAACTATTTTTGCATGCAGTAGAAATATCACTTCCTCCAGGTGCAAGTGGTTTTTAGTGACATCGATTTTCAGAGCCAGATGGGCAGCTGATATGGACAGTCCACTTCCAAGGGTCAAGTGTCTGCATCAAAAGCCACACTTTCTTTGATTTTTTTTTAACATTCAGAATTTCATTTTACTTTTTAAGTGCTCACCCATTCCTAATGCAAAGCTTTGCTGTACCATTGTGTTTATCTTGAATAAAGCAAAGGGGACTCAGGCAGGAACTTAGTATGTTCCCTACTCCGTGAACATACTGTACTTATTGTCAGTGCTTATTCTAACATTAATGAAACATTCCTTGGCTGTGTTCAATTTGGAGCTCAATGCATTTCTGAAAAGCAATCAGCCCTGAAGAGCTTTCATACATTAAGCACCCACAAGTTAAACGTTCATGTGTTCATGAATCTTGGAATCATAACGAGTAATGGTATGTGTACATCTAAGAAAACCGTATAATGTGAAACAGAGCAGATGGCAAATGCAGGGACTTAATCCACTGTACTTTTGCCTTCTGACATATTCGTTTGAGAAAGCTTAGCCCAATGCAGCAGAAATTATTTGAACTTTACATAGGAACCTGCCTTAGACTTTGATAGAAATGGGCAGTAACCATTTATCCATTATCTGATGAACAGAGAGCATTCCACTGCAGAAGGATGAATAGTTAACTGCGTTTGACTGCCAAAGCTTATAGGTAGATAAGATAATGTCATTCATTACAGGAAAGGACTCTGCTGAATCAGCTCATCTTCAAAGATTGTAGCATTGTGTGGCTAATATTTTGGTCGTTAAGATGTAAAAGGAAAGAGCAAGTCCACCCTATCTCTGCAGGCCATACTTCATTTTTAAATGATTTGACAGAGGGGTGCAATTTGCATTGGAATTATTGAAATCCTAGAAGTACATTAGATAAAGGTAATGAAAACTACATTAAAAAGACAAGTATTCTTATAGAATAAATTAGTTCTAATAAGGATTATTTACCAAAGCAACAAATTAAAAATACAATTACAAAACCCTTGACACCCTCTCCTCTAAATTTATTCATCACACTCCCCTCAGCATAAATATTTGCAAGAGGTTCCCCCCCCACAA